AAAGTTTAAATACATAAAGTTTAAAAAATGTTAAGAAAACACTTCGTCAAGGAAGGACCAGAACACAGCCTTTATAATGCCAACAGAGTGTGAGTTTATACAAAATACAGTCCCTATTTTTTTCTCTTCACAGTTAATAAACATTACACTTTTGGAAAACGCTGTGCCTCCACCTAATCCTCTCGCTATCCTCAGTAGCTTCACAATCTCTTTCCCAAATAACAACAATCATTTTAAAGTAAAACACTAAATGCATAATAATGGCTGTTTCCCACCCCTTCATTCGACAGGCATTCCTTTCCATTCAACATTTTATTCCACTGCAATTGATATCAGATTTTTTTCACATAATTCTAAATAATTCAGTAGCCACAGCAAGATTTATTACCTCACTGTTCCTCCCCTTTTCCAAATGGTTTATTAATGTAATCAATAACACGACACAATATTACTGGAGGTCTCCACATGCAGCCACTTTCTGTTGTGAAAACAATTTCATTCTGGCTAGAGGATCCATTTCCAACACAAGACAACCCTGGTGGGCAGTTCTGGTAACAAGGTAGAGTAGCAGTGGATGACTCCGTATCTCAAAACCAGTCATAGTGTACTTTTATTCCAGCCATTCAAAAAATGACACGCAAAATTAACATACCCAGGTTCCCAAAGACCTAGTGGTGCAGAAATCTCTTTAACTGTAAGATGCCTATAACTGATACGGTACAACAGGCTTCAGGAAAATGATGAGCAAAGGATTAAGTTTTAACAAGCACACTTTCACTAAAAACAAAGTGCGTGGGGGGAGAGGGAGCAGAGGAAAAACATCAGAGGCTGGCAGCAACTGATATAACTGCTATTTCTAAGGCAAGTACCAACAGTAACTGCAAAGACGTACTTTGATTACTGGACATGAAGATGTCATTATCTTCAGACAAAAGAAAAATCCTTTTTGTTTCCCCTATGGTTCCTTCCCATAGCTCAGAGAGACGACCTACTCTGACTTAGCCAGACGGATTTCCTTTATTGATTTCTTTCAGGTCAGTCTCCGTAGCAGATTTAATGTAGCTTTACCTCTGGCTCTAAGCCCACCTGCACCTCAACTAGCCTGGCCTAGCTACAGAATTCTGACAACCAAGATGCCTGCCAACATGTTGTAAAATAGAAATTTCATTTTAGGTTCCTAAATCTGCATCCAGTCATTTACGCAACAGATAGGAATATTAGTTCCCACAATGACCAGTCAGTACAGTTATCACTGAATTAAACATGACAGAAGTTATGGCCGCCTGTTTAGTGTTTCTTTTTAACAATGACATTTCATTATTAATTTGGCACAGTCATATATGAATTATATCTTCAAGGCTATTTCAAAATGCTTTGGCAAGTCCTTGAAAACAGCACTGCAATATTCCATGGACATTAAGTTTTGAAGCATCAATCAGCTTTCTGAAAAAAAACAGCTTTCAGTCATATTACTCAAAATACATCATTTTTTAAGTGCCAAGACCAACAAAAACATTGAATCCCAAGTACTCCCTGCCTGAGGTGTTCCGCTGGGTGAGAAAATCCTGGGGAGACCAGCAGCAGCCGGTTCACAATATACAATATTCTCAGTTGTGTCCAATCCATAGGTCTACAAACTCAAGTATCAGCATGGCTATATAAGAACAGCATTAGAACATGTTCTCAGCCAACACTGCACCTTTCTGCATCACCTCCACGAGTTGCTCTAGAACATTCCTGTATTTTACAACCTGCACCTTTGCACAGGCTGAAAATCTGAGCAGTCAACTGCCCGGTTTCTTCCTTCTGTTTTTCCTTCTCTTGTAAAAGGTCCCAACTGGTTCCCAGTGTTCTGGGTGTCAATTATTCTGAACAGATTGAAGGTGCACACTTTCTTGTTTTCCTAAAATCGGACAGGCTTTGTGAGGGACGGACTTCTCCTCTTCTTAGACAGGAAGGTACCACAAGTGCAGGACCTGACTGTGGGAGAGCAAGTGGAGTGGGGGTGGGAGTGAAGTTACTGTCCTGAAATGGTGCAGCATTATTCACCAAATCAGCTCCTTTTCCCAAATTACAGCAGAATAGCAAGTGCATCATTACTGATTCAGGAAGCCAAAAGGCTGCTTTGTCATGAATGATCTCTATGCCTCAAGCAAGCATTTTCCCTGCCCTAATCGCTTATTTATAATCTTGCTTACATAAAAATACAAGCTGTACTGCACAGTAAGTAAGAGCTCTGCCATAATTGCCCTGAACCTTAGGGTTGGCAGTTCTGTCATGTTGTGTACAGGCAATCAAGTGCCTGTCCCACTTTGGGAAAGATATCATAAATTCTAAGCTAGCTGGAAGATCATACCTGGTATTGATAAAATCATTAATCAATGTAAGGATGTTGTAGTATGTCTTACTACGCTATGTCTTTTGATAAAGATGTTTAAATAAAAAAAAACTTTATTTGGACTTATCATAACACCTCTGACAGGCTGAGGCACAACAGAGGATTTCTTTGGGATGGAAGGGTAATTAAACAGTAATTTGTGAAAGAATTCCAAGGTGCATGGACAAGTAACGTGATTTCAGGGATGGGATGTGTGCCAGGTGAAAATGACTAACTCTTCAAATGCACATGCAACAACCTACACAGAACCTATCTCCAGCACGATTGCTATTTTCAGGTTGCAGGAAGGGTTAAAGCTTTCAGAAAGGTTCAGCAAAGCAAATTAAGAGTTGACTCCATTCTCTAACCATATGTTTAAAACATTAAAGTGGTTTTCTTGTTGAGTTTTAGAAGTTGCAAGCCTGGGAAAATTCAGCATTGATTATCACAAGAAACCAAACACCTATGTCTTGCCCTCCTTCTTCTTCAGAACTTGACAGCTGAACTCTAAATTCTAACTAGATATCATCACAAACATAAAAATTGCAATTAATCTCTGTGCAGTCATGTTCAAAGTTCTCAGATTTCCTTATTATCCTTTTTACAGTGGAGTCTATGGTCACTTGAAACAGACTGCCAAACATAATCCTAGTATTAATTAATTTAAACCCATTATCATAGTTACAAAGTGGCTCTCAGAAAAATCATTCTGTTTACTGAGTACTATAGTTTTGGCACTAATTCACTGTTCTTGCTCTGTTGCAAGACTGAATCATGCTTGAACTTTTACTATACATAGGCAACATTTAAGGTGATCAATACTTAAGCTGTTCATTTGCTGCAAACCATCACTTTTTGGAACCTGCACAGGTTGGTGAACATTTAAACAGAAATGTAACCATGAGGATGACACAATATTTCTCTGAACTGTGTGATTCCAGTCTTGCAGAGAGTTCATCTACAAAAGGAAAGCTCAGTTTAGTTTAGTACCTGTTTTTGAAAAGCCCAACATCATATAATGAAAATTCGGAATGGAACTCATTAATGATTCTGTTCTGCTGTAACACCAGGTTTCATAATTTTGACCAAGCTTCTGTAAACTGAAACAATTGGCTGTGATATTAATTCTAAAAAAAATCTTTTACCTTTAGGTTTTAAAACCTAAAACACTAAGGGAGATACAGTTAGAATGGAGAATCATGAGGACAAGGCATAGCAAGTTTTAGGAAGAGTGGTTTTTGGCGTACTTTAAAAGTACACCAGTTCAGTTACACTGAACATATTTCGGGCACAGTTAATAAGAGACTTGACTTGCAAACGTAGAAACAATGTTTGTGGTAAAACAAGGCATGGCTGCATTTCATTGTTTCAAGAGGTACTCAAGAAACTCCACTACTAATGACCTTGACTTCACACCAACAAATAACTGGCCTGCATTAGTTAAGAAAAACACAGCATGCTCAGATAAGGGATAAAGAGTAAAACTGTAGGTACTGGCTAGTTTCACTGTGGTCTTGTATTTGACAACAGTGCACAGATCACATGAGGAAGCTCCCGTTCTCAGACCACGCGCTGCACTGCGCTGGCACAGCTGTTCGTGCAGCTCCACGCATGCTGTCATGCCACACGGTAGTTCAGCTCCCCGATTCAGGCTGTCAGTCACCCAGGTGTGTGGGAACAATGCAGTGGGAGACCCAAGGGCACTAACAGTGTCCCAAGGCCACTTCAGCTCGCTCTGCTTACAAACAAGAAGTACTCACATAACCTGTACCAGAACAGAAATCAACGTTTCATTTCCTTCTATGAAAAGTAATCGCTTCCACTGCTTTGAACTTGGTCACCCAGACTGACTCATCATTAGCCAAGTATCTTGCAAAGACATCTTACCGCAGCATTTTAAAAGATTAAGTAGGAAAGTTTAGGACAAACGGTCCCACTTGAATAGCTGAAAACCCCTGAAATTTCCTCAAATTAAGTTTTTATCTTCACTTTCTTTTGGAAGGTCCAAAAGTTGGTTACCTCTCATGCATTTTATTCCAGACAGTCTTAAAATATGAATTGAGCTAGTAATATCAGTATTATTACTACAGAGAAAAAGTACTGCTCTTAGGGGAGATGGGATACAATATATCATTTGTTAACATAGTCAGTTTCCTTTACACAAAAAAGAAAAGTGTAAGAAAACAAAAAAAACAAGAACTGCACTGTAGCACTGAATGAAAGCAGGAATATTTTCACATCCACAGCCATACTCAGTGCAGCAAGTGCCGTTCAATAGCAGCATTGCTCTCACTAACACCATATGCATGAGGACATTTCAACAGCATTACTGTTAAGCAGCAACGTCAGAACATTTCCGAGGGAGTTGAGAACATATCCTACAGTCAGACATTCCCTCAAATTCTTGTTACTCTTTGTACTCCTGTTTTAACAATGAGCTTTCAAAACTGTCCAAGACATGACAGAACAGAAGCATGTTAATACTGTGAGATTAATATCACATTATTTCTACTGATATTTCTTAATACATATTTCATTTTTAGTTCAGCTAATGCACGAGTCTTTTTTTAATCCTATGAAAATATCTGGTACATGAACAAAAGCAAACATGCTTTTTGCATACCATTAGTTTCTGCAAATTTCTGAATATCAGCCAGAGTTTTCAGTTCTTTCTGTGGGCAAGCTGATACACACAAAGCAAGAGACTTGATCCTCTGATGTACTAGATCAATGTTGCATGGATCCAAGAAGAACACATACCTAGGGGGAAAAAAAAGGTAAATTACTTATATTTTTAATTAACACTGAACAAAATCAATTTCATTTCAAACTGAAGAATTCAGCCAAGACTAACCTTCAGTCTTCCCAAAAACACAGAAAATTTGATATTATCATAATTGTGTCATATACTCAACATACCACAAATATATGGGTATTTATATACCTCCAGATCACACAGAAAGGATGTTTAACTCTACCAGATTCAAGTCCATTCAAATGGTGCTGTGCATAAAAACAGCTGCACTTCTACCGTTCCTCTTCACAGATACGAGTCTAAACATTCACAAACAAAGCTTCACTCCCACCTTAAACGTGACTTCAAGATTTCCAACTTTTTCCAAAAAGAGCCAACAAACCCCATAAGGTTATACTTTGCTGCAAAAAGGATGAAGTCCATGGCTATTTTAATGAATACACATAATAGCAGTAATTAAGAACAGCTTTTTGGTTTAGATTTATTTTCCACACCACTGGTCCTTATGACTGAGCAGATTACTTCAGTATTTATTTTGAAATAAAAATTGTTCAGTATTTCAAGTTGAACTATCTAATGTTCAAGTGCAGTATTTTAAAGAGGTTCTGTTTGTTAACTTTCCATGATGAGTCACTGCCATTTAAAAACCCAATGCATGAAGTATGTATTATAGCTTCCTAGCTAACATCTTCTCCTGGCTATACACATTTCATCCCAAACGCTAACCCTACGGTATTGTCCATACATTCATGGTATAATAGAGATGCAGAATGGTGTTCTAGTTTGAAGTTGAACAAGTCTTTCAAATTCCTACAATTCTGGTGATATATTATGCATTGAAATACTCTCTTCATATTCTCTAACATCATCGTAGAAAAACACCACCAAACTGCCATATAAAATGCCATTTCTGTTTTTGCAGTCCTCACTATGGGAACTCATTATGGAATGAATAAAAATGCCTTCTGGTCCCAGAAAGCATTTAGATCCTGCCTGAACACTTCAGTCTGTACACCAATTGCCACCTAACTTTCCCCCACAGAAAGACTGTTCTATTATCCAGTCTCAGTATACAAGAATTATTTATTAGTACGTGGCACATTCTTACTTCCCAGAAGTCCATCAAAACCCATGTCATTTATATCAACTGTAATGTGGTAATAGACTACTTGCAGTCTTAAAACATTCTCTTTCCTTGTCCGCATCTCTACGAAAATTATCCAGTACTATTTGGGTTTTTTTACTTAATACATACTACACATCTCAGGACTCCATAGATCATGAAAGTCTAAGAAGCAAGTGCAAATATGAAAACTGTCCCACAGACACAGCCAAAGTAACTGCATGTGAGCAATAAGCCACTAATTCCTCAGTTTTCCTTTATTTCAAAGAAAATACTTGAGTTGACACCAAGATATATAATACTTGTGTTAACTGATCACTCCTGTTACAGCTTCCTCTTCACGAGGGCAAGTTCCTGCAGTTGCTATTCCATACCGTAAGGGTACGTGGAAGGAGAATGTCTGCTGCTTTGAGGGTATCTGGCCAAAGGAGCTACAAACAAGAACCTACACAGTCAAACCTGACCGACACCTGGTAAGGGAGGTTGTGGTAAGAACAAACCTGGTCAGTCGCACTAATTGGTAAGGATATGTGGAGTGTGAGAATTCTTATCTTTCAGTAAGATTATCTGGCTAAGCACCTTGCCAAATTGTGATGGTAAGGAAAAGGAGGGAGACACTCAGCCATAAAACTTGACCAATTAGTGTTAATGAAAACAATAACCAGAAACAAACCCCATCAATCACAATTGATGGGCTACCAAGAAACTGCAGGCAGGGATTTGCAACTGATAAGGATGCAGACCCGAAGGTGCAGGATGCAGGAGGGGTCAGTGGGACTGTGCCAGTTGCTGAAGGAATGTGCACGGGACAGGATTCAGGGAGAAACAAAGAGGGGGGGCAGACAGAAAGGGTTGTAAAAGGGGGCAGTTGCATGTAAGCCGATGTTGGTCAGTACATTGGTCTGTCTGAGCCCGGCGCCTGATCACTGCAGTCTGTCCTATCCTTTTACTAAATGCTTTCTTAACTCTCTCTGCATAATTCCAGTCTCTATCCCATGGGCACGGATGCTGCAAGTGCTGCAAGGACCAATTGCCAGCTACTGTCAGGACTGGCATGATGGATTCGGTGCCAGCAATTGGAGTCAGACCAGGGGTTTGGGTGCCCCAGGCCTGTGGTGTCAGCTACCAAAGTGAGTGGGGTCTCAGTGCCAGCGACTGGGGCAGGGAGGGGTCTTGGCCACCAGCCACTGGGGTGGGAACAATGTGTGTCCCAAAAAAACCAGCTACAGAGGTGAAGGGCTCCACACAGGTGGCTGGAGCAGGACCGTGGGTCACAGCCCATATGGTGCTGGCTGTTGGCAGGGGCTGAGCATCGGTACCTTCCCCGAAGTGGGTGTGCACATGTGAAACTCACCAGCAAACTCCAAGCTGTACCAGCAGGTGAGTAGGAGGCTCTGGGTCCAGGCAGAGGTGTCAGGTGGGTGGAAGGTCTGTGCTGGTATTTGGGGGACCTGTGAGCGTGGGGTGCCTGTGGGATGAGTGTGTGAGTGTTTGCTAGTGAGCACCAAGCTGGACCAGCTGTCAGGTAGGGGGAACCCATGGGGCAGGTAAGGGGGCCTGGGATCAGGGCAGGGGTGCCAGGTAGGCAGAGGGGCTGTGCTGGTACTTGGGAGATCCATAAATGTGCATGTGCTTATGAACCTGGAGAGTATGATGTGCGTGCCTGGAGAGTATGATGTGCGTGACATTCTGTCTCTGCCTGCCCATGAGGAGGAGGGGACGTCACTGTGCTTGTGTTTATTTAAGTCCCACATTGTGGGCGCTGTTGAAGGCAGCGCCCCGTCAGTGCCAGTCCGTCTAACCAGCCATGTCAGTGTCCCATGTGTGCCTGTCCATCCACATCCCTCAGCCCAGGCAGAGACCCTGGGTCCTGGGATGTATCAGGCTGGGCTCCGGTGGCCGGACAGGAGGCTCCTCCGAATGTCCCTTAACATGTATTACCTAAGGAAACCAAGTCAGGAACGTCAGCATTAACAAGCTAGAATCCAGCCCACTTCTACAGTGATTTAAACTCAAGGGCCAAGCTAGAATTTTAATGTCCAGAAGAAATTACAGTATTTTGTAAAAACCACTACAATTTTAACTCAAGCCTGAAAATTTAGAAATACAATGCAACCACAGAGCTGTATGCAGTTTTGACAGAAGTGTGCTGTGTTGGCATACCCTTAAACAGACACATGTAATTCAAACACCGCATGGCATGGTTCAGAGACAGTTCTGACAGCAGTAAGGCAGCTGCAAAGCGAACTCCAAGCTATCAAATCTGTGGCTTCAATCCATGGTCTAAGAAGACAGAAGTAAGATTTTTTTATTTTCTAGCAGCTAAAACAAGACTCAAAATGCTAGGCACCAGCATTGCAGAGGAAAAGGTATTTTGGTTTTTGGTTTTAAAGCTTACTTACTGAAAGTAAGTGATTTTACTGCAGAAAATTCCATACTGTGTCACCACAGAACACGTTTTGTTGCTCACTAGAACGTACTTACATGCTTTGTACTGCAATCTCAGAATAATAGACTAATCTGTTGATAAGAAAGTAACTTAGATCAGCAATACAAAGACTGACATAAACAAAGTAATCATATTGTTAGAGATGCTTCAACACTGCAAATGAAAATTTGTTTGCTGTAGAAAATTCTTTATGTAACCTAGGAAGCATCTTTATGCATCTATGCATTTATGAAGTATCAGCCCTTCAGAGAAGGACTTAGGGGTACCAGTGGGTGAAAAGCTGGACATGAGCCGACAATGTGCCCTCGCAGCCCAGAAATCCAACCGTATCCTGGGCTGCACCAAAAGAAGTGTGGCCAGCAGGTCGAGGGAGGTGATTCTGCCCCTCTACTCCACTCTGCTGAGACCCCACCTGGAGTACTGCATCCAGCTCTGGAGTCCCCAGCACAGGAAAGACATGGACCTGTTGGAGCAGGCCCAGAGGAGGGTCACAAAAATGATGAGAGGGATGGAAGACCTCTCCTATGAAGAAAGGTTGAGAGAGTTGGGGCTCTCAGCCCCAATTGGATCAACCCAGAGGAGAGAAGGCTCTGGGGAGACCTTATTGTGGCCTTTCAGTACTTAAAGGGGACTTATAAGAAAGGTGTTTTTTACGAGGGCCTGTACTGATAGGACCAGGGGTAACAGTTTTAAACTATGAGAGGGTAGATTTAGATTCGCTATAAGGAAGAAATTCTTTACTATGAGGGTGGTGAGACACTGGACCAGGTTGCCCAGAGAAGTGATGGATGCCCCATCTCTGGAAGTGTTCACGGTCAGGTTGGACGGGGCTTTGAGCAACATGATCTAGTTGAAGATGACCCTGCCCATGGTGGGGGGGTTGGACAAGATCATCCTTAAAGGTCCCTTCCAACCCAAACCCATTCTATGGTTCTATGATTCTTTGATATTAACAAACCACTTTTCTGAAAATCAGTTTGTTAAAAGAATGTGTGAAATACGGCATGATGAAAAAGTTACTTGAGTAAAAATAACTGCATGTAATTTTTTAATATGTCTACCTCCTGTCACCATAATAAAAATAAGAAATTTTAAGCTCGTCTTTAATTTTAAGCTGATTCCTATACATAAAGGAAAATAAGGAAAGAGTTTATTTAATTTTTCAAAAGCAATGGTGTCTGAAAATAGGGTCAAGTTGTCCATCCTGAGGCATGTAATTCAAAATGGACTTCAGTACAACTTTTCAAAACATAACTTCTTTTTTACAGATCTATAAGATAACCTTCCTTATGCTTTACTACCATTTTGAGCTTATACTGCAGTGTGTTTCTTTTTTCACTTCTGAAAGAAAAATCCAGATTTCTAGGCAAGTAAATAAAAATATAATTTCAAAATGACCAGAGGTTAAAAAAAAAAAAACCAACCAACAACAATTTTGGTTTCTGACTGGTAGTTTACTAGACAACTGTCCCATTACCTATTCATGCCCATGAGAAATATACCAGTCTCCTCTTCCCTTGCAAAAACAGGAAGACAAAGCATCATCATTTTGCACACTACACCTTGATTCTGGAAGCACTGTGGCAAGTCATATGAACAAGCTTATCTTACCTTCAAGTATTTTGTACACTCTTATATTTGCCAGTGTCATTGATTTTCTGTCAGCCCTCAAGGCATGTCTTTATAGGCAAATGGGTACTTTACAGAACAGCCATTTGCTGTGGTCTACAAACATCTTACCACAATAATGGAGAAGTGAATTAAGTGATCACACCCACTCTAAGCAAATTATGGGTAGGGCATATACAGTTTCACTCAACCAAATTCTCTGTATGCGTGCTGCAAACTCCCCCTGGGTTTTCCCACTAACTAAACCCCAAGCATTTTCCTCAGTCAACAGCATTTATTAAGGTGGAATGCCACCCTAACTCTTCCCTATAGCGGCACATGCACATGTTCTCGTACTTGAGTGAACAGCACAAACCTAATTCTGTCCAAGCAGCAAAGTATTGGTGATCAAAAATCAGACTGAACTAGCATTTCAGGGACTTATATTTGGCTACCATAGTCATCATTTATTTGCAAAGAAAGGGTCATTTTTTAATCCCCTTATAACTGCCAGAACTTGAAAAGCAAGGAGCTAATTTATTATTGAAGCAGAGAGGTTTAATGAGAATTCACTGCCAGGGCTAGACTGTAATCCCGTGTCTGACTCTAGAGCACAGCCTATTAAAGCTGTACTGTGTTTTCTTTGTAAAAATAAAGAGATGCCTGATTCACTCTTTGTTGACGAGACCAGGCTGTAAAATACTCCTTCCCAACATTTCATCTCACTGGTTTCAGCATATCTGATGCACATGGATCAAATCATATCGCTGTGAGGATTCTGCTCTTCACCCTTACCACCCAGATTTCCATATCCACACAGACCACATCCATTTCACTTCCTCATTACAGTGCCTATGAGTTGCTGTCATTTACAAGGAAGAAAATGTTATTTTTACAGATGATTTAGCTTTTCTGCCTTGGACTGGGAAATGAAGACAGAATTACCCTGCAAGCAGAATGAAATAACTTCATGTTTCCAGAACCACATTCGTACAGCTTAAAGTCCCTTCTTTCTCTACACAAACTGAAATGTCCAGGCAGGAAAAAGAGTTTATTTTTACAGGCTGTCTGAAAAGTATTCCTATAAAATAGCATGACATACTCCCATGAACTGCACCTCAGACACTGCAGGAACTCCATCTGCTAGGGACAGACACGAAGCAGATAGTTTCTTCTGAAAAATTGCCAAGCAAATTTAAAAAGCTATATGGTGTGAGAGTGGGAAGGATCACTCGGTTATAAAAGAACTGGCCTCTTCCAAAGCTGGGTACCCTGGACTGTACCAGGCACTTCACTGTGAACAGTTATAGAATAATCTGCCTTGGTAGAAGGTTTTCTCTCACCCTCAGGCAAATAGAAATGATGATACCCTGTATGAGTGTATCCTCAAGCCATGATACCTTTATTGAAAAACATAACCCTTTTGAACCTTAAGACTTTGACAAGCAATGGGCTCTGTCTATTAACTGTGTAAAAATAGTCTCAGTGTTTTTATTTGCTGTCTTTCGATCTTGCCTTTACAAGAGGAAATCACTTAGCAGTGGTAGATGTTTCTCCTCGTGATGGCCTGATTTCTGTCACATGTAGGAGACTATTACACTATTAATTGTTACATTTCAATAGGGTGTCTGAGTTTCTCCACCTTCACACAAACTCAGATACCGTTTCTTTCTAAAGGTAAGTTTAAAATTATAATTTTAAAATTTGTATTTTCTCTCACAATTAAAGAGTGACAATTTTGTACTGAATACACCTGATTTTAGAAAGCACTAAAATACTTGTATAAAAAAGTAGGAAAATTATGCTGCATAAGTTTTAAGCCCTTCAACCCTCCTGGAAGTTGTGATTAGATCAAGAAATTATTCTTTTGACAGAAGATATCTGTAAAAAATTTCAGGCTATTTTATTTAACTCAAATTCTTCTGGAAACACACCAATTACCTAGCCATATTAAATCTTAAATCAGATATTTAGAAATCTTTAGTATAGCAACTCAAAATAAGCAGATCTTAGGAAAGCATCCTTCCAAAATAATTCATGCAAATTATGGATTTTCTGTTAGTCTGAAAGTAAAGCATGAAGTAAAAGGCTATCATTCTCAGAAATTAAAGACTTTTTAGTTGTTTGAAGTAATCAACAGTGAAAGAAACATGTTTTTTGTCACTGTTCTAAGATCAGACTAAATAGTTTACTTTCTCAAGTCACCCAAGTTGTACAGATGCACTCTGAGCACTGACTGGCAGACAGACCCCAACAGACATGCACAGGTTTTCAACCCATCAGTCCAGAATTCTTGTTACTCAGCTCCAGAACTACTACTGCAGTATGTTTTTCTGCACAATAGATAGGAAATATCTGTGCTGGTTCTGACCTGTATGTGTTTTAACATGACACTGCTTAATAAGAGCTGTGTGCTGCTTAAAAGTTTTGTGCATTTCCCCCACAAGCCACTTACATATATTCTGCATACAGTTTAAACTTTAAAGTCTCATTTTCATGTGTTGGATATATCCCATCGCCCCCTAAACTCAGTGGCAGAAACTGAGCATACAACATCAAAAGCAAACCATTTCTACATAGATATCAAAGGCCTGCTCCCAAATCTGAGAATACTTGTCATACCTAAAACTCTAACAAACAAGATTCTTCAGTGGCCTGATACAATCTGTTACATGAAGTGGATGCTAAGAAAGGGAAACTCCTCAATGTCTTAGCTGTACCCATATTGTACATCTGTCAGCACACACTCTCCAAGTACTTTTGATGGTTGTTACAAAAGATTGTTGTTCTCTAGGTGAGAAGAGTGGAGGACAAGTAGGAATGAGTTAGCATATCCCTTTTCCCATTTTATTGAAAACCACTCTCAAAGGAAGAAAGATTTTGCCTTTCCTGGTTTACAGAATGAAGCAACTGAATCACATACTCACTTCTTGTGTGTGAGGTCCAGACCACTGTTGACTATTCCCTCCACCTTGACATTTTTCTGTCCACAAATATTTCCGTAACTGTCATATCCTGAAAGCAGTCTTGCAGCTGCTCCTGTAGCTATTGAAAAGCCACAGATAAAACCCTGGAGGAGGAAAAAAAACAGTTTAGTAATACTCTGACAGCTGGGAAAAGTCAGTTTAGTTCGTTTCTAAGCAGAAGTTCTTTAAAAATTCTTTCAGACTGAAAAAGGAAAGACAAGGACCATCCACAGAGATCTGTTGTGCAATTATAAAATTGAATGCAAGGCAAAAGAGGATTCAGATATCTAACATGGCATATTATCCAAGCATAGTTAAGAATCTTGTAGGTGTTTTTTTGAGAGTCATATTGTCAGCAAGTGGTGCATGAAGCAGAAGTGAGGCTAAGGGCAGGCAGTGATGGAGAGCTACAAGCAGAGCTGGAGTTGCCAAGGGTTACTATGCATCTTAGAGGATTCCAGACAGTCCAGATTTTATTGCTTTAAGTTTTTTTTTTTCCCTTCAAATTATGTGCTTTCAAAGATGAGCTAGAATGAAGAAGCCCATCTGACATAAGTTCCTTTTAAAGAAATCCTCTAAAACAAGTGACCAGGTCAAGGCCACTATGGTTCCAGATGCTGCGTTCAAATGCAGGAAAGCAACAGACACAGAGCAAGCAAACGCAAAATGGCTCAGACAGAATAATGTGGAAAATACCCGATGTCGGGCAGGTCATGCTGTGAATTTTCAGGAGATATTTCACTAGCAAAACCAAGATCAAGGCGGTGATTATGCGAACAGAAGACTGGCCCAAAAGAATCGTTAGCTCTCTAGCAACACCACTGACAAGGAGAAATGAACCATCAGCTCGCTCCACTACCATCAATGAACTGTTTTTACAGATGAGGCAAGTTAAGATTTGAGAAGGGGAAGCAGAGTAAGCACCTGAGACAAATGCGTGCAGCAACAGATGGCAGTGACAGGATCAGATGAGATGATAACAACAGGTAATGAAGTCAGCATGGAACAGTTAAAATGTGGGTGGTTTTAAAAGTCTGAAGATACAGGAGAGTGACCTTCTCTGACAGCTATCACTATAGAGAAATTCCAGACAGCAAGCTGGTCATTATCTTTGTCTTGCCAATGCACTAATGCACTTACAGACTTAATACTCAAAGTGAAAACAAGGGCAAAGTGAGCAAAAGGCTATCACAAGTAATAATTAAAGCTGATTTCCAGCACTCACTTTCAATTTCTCAGATCCCTTACTATTCTGTAAAGGACCTACTAGCATGCATTTTACATACAGTAGTACTCAGGTTCTTGGCTGGTTCAAGAATTTTCTCCCTACACACAGGGTAAGGGAAACCATGCAATTCCTCTCCCATCTAAGCTAATTTATAACAATGTGGGATGCCCTCCTGACCCATCATGTTATCTGACCCTTCACGTGAAGTCCCCTAGAACAGAAACTAACAGGGTATTTGACCCAATGGGATAATTGCTCTGTGTATCATATTGCTTAGACAGGAAAATCTGGGACACTCAGCCACAGCAGACTAATTTATAACTGGGGGAACAGGTAGGTGTAGACTGAGTAGCCAGGGAACATCAACAAAGGCAGGGAAAAAAACAACCACAAAGAGAGCTGCTGTTTTAGGAAGTACTGTGCTTGTTACGATTTTAAGATATTCACATTACAGTGAGAATATGATTCATATGATTTAAACAAAACATTATTATCTTTGCATTTGAAGCACAGCCAGTGACAAACACTTCGGGGAAAGAAAAATTTTTCAATGGAATAATTCCAAAAACCAGAGACCACCAGACAGTGGAAAAGAAAGCCGACAGCATAGAAGCCTCAAAGTCCTAAGGGCTACTGCTTGCAACACAGCAGTACAAGACAGCAAGACAGTGACAGATATTCTCTGTTTAGGAAGAACAGCATACGTAGGTTCATGAAACAAAATAAGATTAAAAGACATGTATTTCTAGTTTTCACTACTCTGCAGCTCTTGGACGTTTGGTTTTTTAATATAAAGTGCACAGTGTTGTGAGGCTGCCTTGGGAAAGGTGATGGTTTCATCATACACGACAAAGCTGGGATAACTTGGAAAGAAAGATCTTACCATTAGTAATATGATTGTTAATAGTAGGTGCTTCTACTAAGCATCCAACAAAAAAAACAGTCAACTGTGTGATATTCAGAATCATTGTTTCTCAGCAAAAAGTTTACTGTGATTCACAGAACCATTTACCAGACTCAAAGCTATCATTTCTGGGACATCCACAGTCACATAAAGAACATGAGTCAAGTGATACCTCACCATGCTGAAAATCACTTACAAATGAAACTGGAGTTTCAGGGGAAGAGGAGCTGGAGCAAGAACTGGCACAAACAATAAATTATGGATCCCTACCAAAGGTCTTTGATAGTACATACTACCCATTTCTGTTCTACAGCTGATGGCTCCCATGCCAGTATACCCTGACCTTACCCAGTGACTAAGTTACTGAAGGGTTTTAAAACTTCTTTCTAATGAATGCAAACTCTTCAGCTATGTAACATTCACAGAATCCTTTGAGTTTTACTCACCATTCCTATGCAGAAGAGGATGAATAAGAGCAGCCATGGTACATCTGTGCAGCTGTGGTCCTCCAGAGGCTTCCACTCTCGCTTGGAGCTCTTGCGTGAGAAGAGAGAGATGAGGTTAACAACACTTTTTTAATTGTCTTCTGCTCCTAACAGAAAAAGGCAGAAAACGGTTCTCCATGGCACTAACGTACAGCAGGTGTTATCTCTGAAGTCCAATATAGCTGAAGCACCTTGGTCAAAAAACTTAAAGAGTGAGACTCATGAAAGACACTTCAAAAGAAGTACCTCCACTGGAAGCTAGATCGACAAAGAATTATTTATCCAGAAAACAGGTAATTTACCCAGGAATTTACAGGTATTTATCCACAAAACAGGTTATTTTCACTTATTTTTTATTAACAGAAAAGAGAACCTAATGGCATGGAATCAACAATATCTGCAATTGCAGTTTTCCACAGCTAACTTCCAGTAATCTGCTTTCCAAGAAGGATAAAAGGTTAAACTTTTCAAAAGCTCTTAAGTTTTAAAACACTATTGACAGGTTTAACAAGTACAGTGCACGTAGAAAGGAGGTAATAAATTGCTGTTAAAGGAACAGTTATCTACCTGCTAAGAGGCAGCTGAGCTTAACATTTCAGCAAAGAAATCCCTAGTCAGTATTGCCCAGGTGCCAGAAAGGAAAGTCGTGTACTTAAAGGTTGAAATACTCAATGATGGAGGCTCTATTGCAAGGTGTTAAGAGGCAGTTGTAAGCAATTCAAATAGTTTCCTGCTCGTGAGGTAAAATTTCTCAAGTGTGTATACACTGCTAAGATAATTAAAGTCTGTTAAAAACAGTCATTTTGCCATCTAGGAAAAATGTTTTTAAGAAAAGAATGATTTTAACAAAAGAATGAGCATTGGCTGTAGCACAAAACTAACCACCGTATCAGAACTTATTTTAACAAAAATATTGATTATAGCTACTTTAAAAACACACAGTTACACAGACAAGCTTTTTCAATTAGTTCCCAAGCACTATTCATGTATGTCTACTAAGACCCAAAAAACGCACATGTTGTTTTCATACTTGAGGAAGAAAAGGAGATTGATATAGGGAGAATACAGAACAGCTCTCTTCAGAGACAGAGCAAAAGGGGTAACCTGTTCAAATTTTGAATTCCTTTCTCCTCTCAGGACTCTGAAGCACCTTCAAGACTGTTGACAAGGTAGCAAACGTCAGTACTGAATTAAAACAGAATGGTTGGACGAAATGTCAACAGCTTTATCTCCAGTTGTATTTTTGCAGATTTTTATCAAAAAAGCTATAGCATGTAACTCATATGATATTAGCAAGGTGTTTTTTTGGTATTCATGACTTTGTTTTTTGCTAATCCACAAGCACAAAGCAACCTTTTAAAATAGTACCATTAGAAAACTACAAACTGGCTACAATATAAACGAAATCCTGCATGCACCATGCTTCAAAAAGCACCATTTTCTAAGTAGTCTGGCTTTGCATTAGGGAACTCCACGCTACTTTTGCAATCTTGTATTAGGGAAGTTCCACTTGCAGATGTTACACTTATATTTTCAATTTAAACTGTGCAAATCCACTCTGAGTTCTGAACAGTCAAACCTCTTTTTATTTTACTCAATAATCAGTAGTGAGAGGTGCTAAAAGGTCACATTATGCACTCTACTACACTCATTCAACAAAACCGTCTTCTGGTCCTGGCAGTTCACACTTAAAACTAACACACTATTCAAACGTAACATTTACAACAAGATTGTGACATTTATATTGTTATAATTAGCATAATTAAATTGCATAAAATATGTAAAGCTTCATGCTTCCTATTCCTAAATCCACTCCAAGAACTCTGGATTCTTTAGAGATTTACTTTTATTTACAAACAGCAGAGATAAATTTCAGCTATAGCTGCTCCTTAAGAGTAAGCTGCCCTTGATAAGAGGGAGCAGTAAGATGCACCACGTAGTGTGGTTTGTTTGTTTTGTTGGATCTTTTTTATCCTCTCTGTACCATCTGCAAACAAAATCTTTTAATAGGATTTTTAAAAGCCATTGGACATCCTCTGGAATAGCTCTGGCAAAGATTTAGGTTGTCTGACCAGTCACAGTTACCATGAGTAATCCATTTTATTTACTAAGTGAACTGCAATTATATGTCAAAAAGAAACTTGAAATGCCACGGTGTAGCACCTAGTTAGAAGGTTACACAGAAGAATTCATGCTGTGTCCATAGCCTTTACTCTGCTCCAAAACATAATTAAAAAAAAAAAAAAGAGGAAGGTATTTTAAATAAAAAGTACCCTTGGAGGCAACTCAGAAGGCACTAGATACCTACCAACCTTCAATTTAACCACCTAGCACACTAACATGGTATGAAATTATACATCTTTAGAACAACGCCCTTCTCCAGTAGCCTGTCCAATCTTTCTTCTCTCCAGACCTTGCTACAACCCAGGCTAGCTGCCATTATCTATCTGCTGTTTTCTTCTCAGTTGCTTGCTGGTATTCTGGATTCCCGCTGAATCTTTGTCCATACCTTCAGAGCCCTTCATCCTCATCTTTGATGTTGGTGTCTATGTCTCTCTAGTGACTGCTCCCTGTCCACTCTACACCCTTAGACGTTTACTCAGACCATGATATCGATGCTTGGGCAACACAAATTGCTAATGTATGGTCAACAGAAGGTCTAACAAATGTTGTTTGTTCTGCAGTCTGGAAACTATACTTTGTCTCCATTATAACTGAAATACCATAAAATTTTAGCAGACATGCTTTGCCTGCAATCCTAAATCAGCACTTCTACTGATTTCAGCCTTTCCTCCAGACAGATTAAGGGCCTTCAGTATTTGCTGATGCAAGAAAGCTAGATAACCTAAAGGAGAAAGAAAATTTTTTGAAGTGATTTGATTCATTTTAAGTTTTCTCTTAAAACAGAGCTTTCATAATTTATGCTATGTTCTCTACGGATATTCTTGCCATGTACATTGCATGAGACATTTTGTGTTTAAAAAGAATTCTCTGTTAACTCCTTGCATCTGTAGTCTCCTGCTGACATGCTGTATTTTTACACTTTTTTGTGCTCTTATGTGTGTGTTGCACTCTGGTTGGGGCAGGTGAGTGCTTGTATGGTAGCATCCAGTACAGCTATTACAGTTAACAGTGAAAGTGGTAACCATTGGTTTTGTGCTATGCTGATACCTGTAAAGAAGTATGTTACAGTATGTAGAAGAGAAATCCTGTGCGCTGTTATATTTGCACAAAGAATGGTACATACTACCAGTCAAGAGTGGAAAGCAGGCAAGAGTGTGTCTCTCCAAGACAAACTTGCAGGTTGGGCATAACAACTCTTCCGTGCTGATTTTAAGAGTTATTTACTCAAGAACCCAAATGAGTGTGTTCAGAAGTTTATGTCTGTCCATTTTACAGAAGACTTAGCAAACTCAACGCTTCTCAAAAACAAATCAGAACTGTTGGGTGCAGCACAATTTTACAATTACGTCTTAATTCCACACCTAGAAAGCTGGATAAAAAGGGGCTGTTTTCTTTGTATTCATTGTATCCAATCACTTCAAAACAAACATAGAACCCCCCCTCCAGATTTCTTTCTCCCTGCCACTTCCAAAATGTACCTTTGCAGCACCAAATAGCAGGTCTGAATTTATGTCTCTTCTACATACTGTAACATACTTCTTTACAGGTATCAGCATAGCACAAAACCAATGGTTACCACTTTCACTGTTAACTGTAATAGCTGTACTGGATGCTACCATACAAGCACTCACCTGCCCCAACCAGAGTGCAACACACACATAAGAGCACAAAAAAGTGTAAAAATACAGCATGTCAGCAGGAGACTACAGATGCAAGGAGTTAACAGAGAATTCTTTTTAAACACAAAATGTCTCATGCAATGTACAATTTGGGAGTGATGTGACTGAAGCGAGAAGCCAAGCAAAGAACATCTGCAGTATTATATATATGGATAATCAAGCTGTGGGTAAGTAGCAAAGATGTGAATAAGATCAGGATAAAGATGGAATTTGCCATCAACAGAAGATGTTGCAACACCATGAGAAGGGCAGCAGAAAGAAATCCTAAAATCTTGTTGTGATCAGATTGTATGTTTCAGGAAGAAGAAAAGGAAGATACTGCTGAGACAGATGGGCTGAATTAGGGACAACCCAGTGAACAACTGGCCTGAGTAACATCCACTGGATGAAAGGGAGACGCAGGGAGAGGTTAGACTGTAGGCTTTACTCTGGCTAGTGAGTTTAAGCCAGTAACTGGAGTATAGGACTACTCTGATTTGCATATGAACACACAGGTTGTAGGAATACAGCCATAGCTTCATTCAGGTAGTTAAGGACAAAATATAAAACCAAACCAGAAAATACAACCCTCACATTTTTCAGCCCAAAACAAATCTCAAAAGAGACCCAGGATGAAGGAAGCCCCATCAAAATCCTACAGGAAGATCCCCTAGTCATGAGGAAGTCTTCCAAACTGCTAATCTAACTCCAGGACTACCATACACAGTGTTAAGAAAGCCAACAGAAGACAAAACTTTTAAGCAATGTCCACAGCCAGCAAAGCCAAACCGAGTTAAACTTCATGAGACACCAGTTACATGAGCTATACCGTTCTGGCTCAAGAGAAGGCTTCCAAGTGCAGGTGCTCCGAACTCCTGGAAGGTCCACATCCATGACAAATTGTTCATTATCCCTACTTGTAAGTAATGCTAGATAAAACCCTACATGCAGATAAAACAGTCATCCAATATTATTCTACTTCAGCATTTGGTTTAAATCAGTTCCATTTCAAGTAAAAAACAACAGAAAATGAGATAGAAAAGTTGAAATAGTTCTTAAATGAGATGCACACAAATGATTTTGACATTCCCTCTTAAAAAGCAGCAAGTTCTTTTGTTTTAGTTTCCTTTTTTCTTTCAACTTGATTCTAACACAAGACGGAGATGCTGCAAAACATCCAGTTTTCCATTTGCAAACATTGAGAAAAGGCTTCCATATTTTCTACGCTTAGGAATGGCCACTTTTTTTCTGTTGAATACTGAATACAAGACATGGCATTTTGATTCATCCATCTAAACAATCAGGCCTAGAATTACGAAGTTTTTTCACATCCTAGCATACTCAGGCACTTCAGCATTTGGCCCATTCCCCCCTTAGCAGTTCATACCATGCCTTAAGGATGTGACTTTTCAGACCTCTTAATGATTTCTGAAACTTCTGTTGGTTCAGCTGGTGGGTTACAGTACTGCCAGACACAGACCTAGTGTATGGAAACTTCACCGCTGCTTTCACCATTTACATTCATTCATTATTTGACCTTTCCTTAAAGACTGGATAAATTCACAAAATAAATCCATCCACTACTCTTCTCTCACCACTGCACACTGAATTTTTAACCTCTTCTGGCCCTTAGTCTCCCTTCTATATTACATCCACCTTCCAAGTTTTTAATATCTCAATCATGCCAGCAACTGCATGCCCTTTAAAAATATTTTCTCCCTAAGATCATTTACAAAATTTAAGAAAATTTAAGACGCATCTTCCTTTCACAGAACTGTTGTGTTAGGCTGTCAGTTACAAACAATGGTATGCATGAATATCTGAGCTCCTGTTTGTTCCTCAAAATGGTGTCTGTGACTATTCTTTTCAGTGGGACATAGGTTTGTTTTTTAAGCACAAAACCCAGGCAAAAAACAAAGTGATAGTTCTAGAAGCCATGGAACTAGTTAAGATTTATTTCCTCTGGTCTTTCTGCACAGTACAATCAGATCCTCTGATATCTAACAAAGGAAAAGTTCTGATTATAGTTCATGCAGTGGAAACAATTCCTGATCCTCTTTTTTTCCTTCTCATTTAGGTTTTCTGATATTTAAAATAACTCAGCTTTTGTTACAGCCCCTTTCTCTGCAGCAACAGTTTGACCTCAATCTTTCATTAGGCTCACAGGAATGCAATTGAATCTTTGAATCAACTATCACTGCTGAATTAGCTATCACTGCCAAGTTTGCAAAGTTAGCTAAGTTGGATCAACGATTTTTAAGAATTATTTGGGGGGAACAAGTGGTTTCTTGAAGGAATGAAATGTGTGTAATCTGTGCCAAAGATTTTTATTTTTTCTAAACGTAAGTTGCCAGCAGTTTAAATTACTACAGAAGGATTACATAAGTTAACTTTTCAAATAGCTTTAATTTAGGTTTGTTTGCTCTGCAGAGTGTCACTGTAGAAAAACTTGGAATATTCATTGTTGTAATTTCTAACCAGTTTCAATAACGATAAGAAGATACTGAAAATTTTGGGTTGCAAATATTTCAGGTTTCTTTCTTTTTAAATGAAAGGATAGTTTTTATTGTACTTTTAAAAATCCTCAGGGATATTATTACTGATGTGGCAGTTTAAGATAATTTGTTATAAACCCCCATCCTAAGAACCACATTCATCTAACTACATCCCCTTTCAATTCTCTGTTGTTTTATCACCTTGATGTAACATCTGGATTCAGGGTATATGCGACTGTAGCTCAATACAGGAGAGTAAATAGAAATGACTGCTGTTTGTATATGTAAATCAAGGAATTCAGAAATGGCTGTGTAGCTATCCATCTACATAGGAGACAAACAGCCACAGTGTGCACACAGCATTAATAAACAGTGCTTAGAGGCAAAAAAAGATACTCGTCCTGACTGGGATCTTTTGTGGGAAACTGCCACTGAGTCCTGCAGAACCTGCCTTTCCTAGAAGGACGGCTGGTTTTGATGAAGTGCCAGAGATTCAACTGATTGTATGAATAGCATTAAGTTTACTCCAATAGCACAGTGAGTACGTTAGACACCCATCTTACACCTACAATGCAAGTTCAATGCTTCAGAATTGCTGGGTCCCTTTGCAGTACTGTGCACACCACAAAATTACATGTAAGGCATGGTCCACTCTTGAGTTCTCCTTGGGAAACGGGCAAGCCAGGTTAAAGAGGTTGCTACCAAGAAGTCATCCAGTCCAGAAGTTGTCCTGCAAGCTAAGTTTAAAACTACAATTTCACATGCTATTGAAACATCCCCACCCTGCCAAAAAAAAAAGGCAGTTCTTGAAACATTTGTCAGCGTTTCCTAATAACCATTTAAGGAGCTGATTCTTTACTCATTTTACATATCTTTACAAGCTAAAGAACAGTCCCAATCACATGCTGGCCTTTACCATGAAGCATACGTCATATGAAAAAGAGGAACCATAATTTACTAGTTTACCAAAATGTTTCTAATGCAAGAATGTAATTCTCCAGTTTATCAGAGAGCATGGCATTTTTCTGTCCAGACATGGCACACCTTTCTACACTATTCAGCTGTTTAAGAGAAGAACTAGCAGCGACTGTATATTTCCTAATGAAACTTCTTCCACCCCTGAACAGATCTTAATTCTAGAGCCTAAAGAGGAAGAGGAAACAAGTCCTGATCCCAAGCATTAACAGTTTAGGACATTTCTAGATCACTCTTACTTGAAGCCTAAAACCAAGACTTAAGTCCTCTATTCCATAAGCAGCTGCAGCCATTGTGACATCAAATGAAGTTACCAGCCATTCCTCTCCTTTAATTATGAATGTTAAATTGCAGTGAATAAGATGACCAGTATGCTGCATCTGAACTACATTTTGACCACAAAGTGGTTCAAATATACATGATACCAATTACAGCTGTAGACCAAGTGTGTCTCCCTATAAACATGAATCAGTAACTAGTTCATGAAAAACAGCATTTCTCTGCATACAAAGCCAACTTGGGAGATAATGACTGATCTGAACAAGTGTGTAAAACATCAGAATATAAAATTAAAATCTAGCAAGTTGTTTCACATTTTCAAACAAAAACATTTGGCAACTTTTAACCTGTCAAAGACACTGCACAAAGGAATACTGAGAGGGAGGGAAAAGACACAGACATTTTCTAACACCTTCACAAATAAACAGAGCCTAGAGTCCCTGACAATGCCAATATGAAGGTCTGTGATTGTTACCTCTAGGGAGAATGAAGTCTATAATTATTCTAGGATCTTCTATTACTCTGAAGATTGGATGACACTGTTCCTAAAAAAGTCCAAAAAACCTAAACCCCAAAAAAACCACACTCACTTCCCCACACAAGTACACTTCTGAGAACAAAAGTAGCAACCCAAGTAAACTAGCCCTCTATATAAAACCTTCATGTGGTGAATGCACTCTGTTTAACTGTCCAAAGCAAAGTCTCGTAGTGTTAAAACTATCTTTAGCTCATGACTTCATCAACTGTCTTACTTTTTTTTTTTTTTTTTAAACAGAAACCCCTTAGTCTACTGCACCATAAAGCCTAAGAACACTGCACAAAGTTGCCCTAGTTAAAATGCTCACCATTACCTACAGACTTCTGTGTATGACCTACAGGTGTTCAGATAAAGCACCAAGCAGTAGCTTACTGCATTTTATCAGAAATTCAGACGATTCTCTCAGGTTCACAATAAATTTGATTTATTATACAGCAAATCATTAGTGTGCCTCCATTACTAGAGGAGGAACACGCACCAGCAAACCCAGACTTTTACTCTACTAAACTATACCAGTTCCCTGGAAGAATGAACCATGCTGTATCAATAAAAATATGTCCATAAACACACACACACACAAATCTTAGTGTAGACTTGTCCTGGATCTACCTCTGGGGAAGAGCAGTATTGCTCCTACCCCAAAGAGCCTGCCGATAACAGCATTCTCCTGGCAGGTGGAGGCTTGAATTCCCCCAGACTTACAGAACTAAAGCTAGGTCTCCCACTTCTAGGGGCAAGTGAGCTTATCACTGTAATACTATCAGAGCTACAAGTGGCAGTCATTTTTAGAAAGAAAGGAAAACAACACAATGATTCCTGCAAGTGCCCTCCATGATGACACTGTCCTCTGGATAAGAAGCCCGAACACCTCTGGGCAATTCCCAAAGGGACTGCATTACAGAACACACAAATCGTGGTGTCTAACGCCCGTTTTTGTGGAATTTCTGCTTCAATCACATTCCAAAACGCTTTATTTTTCAATATACTGCAAAGCAGACGTTAGTCACGCTTTTGGATTTTACTGAGAGCCACATGCCAGTACTTCACATATAAGCACCCACGTCCTTATTTGCCTAATAACTCCACATCACCACTTGTTCTCCGATGCCTTATCCACTGAAAAGATGCATCTGGTCTTTAGAAGTACGAAACTCAGAGTTCCTGCTAGTTAAAGTTTTCTGATGGGGTAATACTACTTTAAAGTTATCCACCAAAGGGTAATGAATTTATACTTTGCTTCTCTTCAGAGACTAAGCATACCATCAATTCAATATGTCCACATGTGCTACTTCACTAATGTTCTCACACTCCACACACAGCATTTATGAGTTTTCAACATAATGTAAACAAAATTGAGAGCACATAAGACAGCACTGACAACATTATTGATGGTGTAATATAAAGATGTTTACCCTGAAAACTCATACGTGGAGACTTCACTCGTGAATCTGACATATGCTGTGTTGTATATCATCTTTTCAGTCAACTCATATTAAACATTGCTTCTAAAACTCCTTTATTACATGATTCGACCTCAGTCTACAACTTAAAATATTTATCTTGAAATATAACACAGCTGATTAAATAAAGGGCTGACATGATCAGCACACCTGCTGAGGTTTTGGAGTTTAGAAATAAGGCCATCTGCAGACAAAAGTCCAGTTTTTAACCCTCAAAGTATTTGGTCATTGTTTCTTTTCTTCATTACACATTGTTAAGTACTGATTTGAAAGCAGCAAGAAATAAGGATGCTTTACAAATATCCCATGTATATAATATTACAAATATCCCATGTATATAATATTACAAATAATATTTTTCAGGGGATTAAAATATCCATTTCAGTGCATGTTTGGTACTTCCACAGTTCTTAATCATTAATAAAAAGCAGTCATGAAAAAAACCAAAACAACAGTTCACTTTTGAAGATACTTTGCGCCTACCAAGTTACTTCATCACATTGCATTTTCTACTTGTACATCAACCTGTTTAACAGATCCTCAGATCTTATTCTTACTTCGAGACGGCAAGTCCCAAATTACAAAATATTTTCAAAGTTTGGACTAGTAAAACATTTTCCAACCACAATACATGACATTAGCAGAAGAAAAAAAAACCATAGCAGAACTCCCCAATTAGTGGTCTCCACAGAAGATGAAGGACATTCCATAGAAAACACTGCACCTGTTCTTTGCACCCTCTTCGTGTGTGATGAGTAATCTTCTCAAAAATAATTTTTTCACCCTTTTGAAGTGTCTAAAGCCGAATTCTAGACCAAAAACATCACAGGCCCTTAAGAGCTCGTGGCCTGCACAGTACTGCTGTGAAAAATAATGACATTGCCACTTACTAGAGACATCCATAGCAGTTCACTAAGTAATCTTTCAAAATGTGTCCTACATTCAAATGGGTTTGTCAATTGAAAATCATAAAATCCTGTAAAATTGTATTGCATTTACAATCCTTGCAGAAGAACTTCCTACCATTCAAAGGCAAAGGCCTACTTGGCAGAGGGTTCTGTGAGGTTAGAGGCTCGTATTTACTACGTGTCATCACAAACACGTGCCTTGGGACACTACACTGAACACTATGAACTAACTGCTGCATACATTGGCCACATGCGTTCTTCCGTATCACTGTGTACGAAAGCCAAAAGACAGAGCTATGTTGGAAATTGAGAAGCCAATAGCCATATCCAGTTACATTTAAAGGATGTCATCAGCACCATAAAAACTTGTCAGAACCTTTTTTCTCCGTTTCCTCTAACGAAGATCAGAAAAACTGTAAGCTTACATTGGGGGAGGGGGAGGGGAGGAGGAAACTTACTTAGCTTCTTAAATACAAAATCCTGACTTACAGGACCAAAATACTGGCATAACAAGAAGGAAAACCACTCAGGATTACAATAAGAGGGCAGTGCTGGAGGACATTGAAAGCGTATTAGATTAACAGGAACCAACGCTAAGAAGGCTCTATCTGATTTATGGAACAAAGGGTGGGAGGAGAATGTAAAGGGAAATAATGTGTCAAGCCGTTAGCATATTACATAAGCATACTTCCTTATAAGTAGGCAATTATTTTGCAGTTTTTCATAGCAAACTAGGGGGAGTCTGACAAAGCATTTCCAGGACATGGTTATCATGACCTTGAAAAAAAACACTTTAATGGGTTTCCTGTTTTGTTTCTATGGATCTCTATACGACATTCAGAGGTCTCTTCCTCAGTCAAATAACGAATCTGCAGAGCAGCAAGAGTGGTTGCAATTGAAAACAAAAACAAAACAGGCCAGAGTTCATTTCTGCTGCAAACAGCTGCTTAACTACATCACATTTATTAAGAGACGGTATCAGGCGCAAGACACCATGTTCTGCTCACCATGACGCTCCACTATATTCTAGCAATATTACTGGTTAAAATAGTGACAGCTAGAAACTAGCACTTCAAGATGCAGTATGGAATTTCAGCTTTCCTATATACTGCAATCATCTCCTATTCTTGAGTGCATTGCACACTGGGTGTTAAAATCATACTAAAGCAGAGAAAATTAATCTTAGGACTGCAAAGCTGAACTTCGAAATGAAGTTGACTCTTCACTCTTCTTAAATATGAATACATATGTTCTTGAGGCTGTTGTCATACAATTGTACACTTTTATTCCACATTGGAAATTTGCTTACCTAGAAGATTTTAAAAAAAAAAAAAAAAAAAAAAGAGGGCCTAGGGACAGGAGACCAAATGCAATGAAATTTATTTACTGCATAAATCAGTGAAACTTTAAAGTGGCTGGAAGACCTAAAGGAACCCTGTTATATATTCACCAACACAGACTTGTTCTCTAAAATTTATACACAAAAAAGGTCTCAGTATAGTTTCATCAAACAGAGGTAGAGACTAGCAATCAGTTTAGTCAGTGGGTAGAAGTCACCTGGCAACACTCTGCATAACCGTTTTTTAGAAGCAAAGCATAAGATATACACAATTTTCCAACAGCTCCTTCAAGTGAGAAAGATTCAAATACAAAATAACAAAGACAGTTTCTGTCAAGTTGGTTTGCAAGTTTTGATTTTCACACAAGAAACCACTGAGATAAGTTCAAAGGAACAAAAATTATAGTCAGCCCAAAGGAGAAAAAGGCATGCACAAGTAGTGCAAAGCTCACCTTTAGGGTAAACAGCATAAAGACAGCTGACAATTTCACTACATACATACATTGTCATTTCTTCATAATGAAAAATAAAAGCAGTCAGTTGGCTGATACTCAATATACCCTCACAATTACTAACCTAAAAGTCTGATGGCTGACAGCATTCCACATGCCAATTAGATTACAGTAACATAAGCTCTGGATTTGGCATTCAATATTAACAATGAAAGATAATCAATCTTTTCCAAACTGTTTTCACTTTACAAAAAAAAATGTCTTGTAAGGATACAATGTCCCATGCTTGTCCTTAATCCAAACTATCATTGCTTGAA